CCAGTACCGAGTCGTTGCCACTTGTACCAGCAGGTAGTCCGGTGACGAAATCCATCGTCACGTGTTGCCACGGTCGTTCGGGTGGCTCGAGGGGCTGCAGCAATCCAGATGGGCGTTGGCATGACGACTTCATTGCCTGGCAGGTCGGGCAGGCGGATACGTAGTACTGCACGTCCGACGCCATGTCGGGCCAATAGTAATTCCGCTGGAGCAGCTTCAACGTTTTGTCGACACCGAAATGCCCGGAGAGGTTGGAGTCGTGTACCTCCTGCGTCAGCAACTCCCGTAGGGGTCGGTAGGAAGGTACCCAAACTCGGTTAGTACCGATTTTGAGGTAATAACTCCCATGTGCCATGGTGACCCGTTGGTGTTGATTCGTCCTGAAAAAACGGCCAGACCTGTAGCTGTGCTTGAAGAGTCCTGCCAATAAAGGGTTAGAGTGGGCGATTAACGCTGCTGCGGTCTGCATGGAAGGGCGGGTCACGGCGTCGGCGATGTTGTTGGCGCCCATTTTGTACGTGATGGTGTAGGTGAAATTCGATTCGAGGTAATCGAGCCACCTGATTTGTCGCGGGTTGAGTTGTGGTTGGCTTCGCATGTACGGTAGAGATTTGTGGTCTGTCCTGATCGTGATGCCGGCTCCCGTGAGGTAACAGCGCCAGGTACGAAATGCATGCATGATGGCGAACATTTCTTTGTCGTGTACAGAGTAGTTGCGCTCGGGCGGCTGCATTTTCCATGACTCGTACGTGATGGGTTGCAGCCCATTGCCGAAATCCTGTAGGAGGACGGCGCCGACTGCGAAATCGCTGGCGTCCGTCACGACTTCGAACGGTCGAGATGGGTTTGCCAGCCGAAGTACCAGCTCAAAATTTTCTTCAGCTCGTCGAAGGCCAGCTGTTCTCTCTCCCCCCATTAAAATTGCACGCCCTTATGCAAGAGATTGGATAACGGCCTGGTTACCCGTGCCATATTCGGTACAAAACGGCGGACGTAATTAACGAAGCCGAGGAAACTCTACAACTCCGTGATGTTCGTGGGCGGCTTCCACTCCGAAATTGCCGTCACTTTGCGAGGGTCAATTTTAATGCCCTTAAAACCCTTTGCGGCTTCCACGTGCCCCAGGAACTCCAGCTCCGGCTGTAAGAACTTACACTTAGAGCCCTTCGTAATTAGTCGGTTCTGCTGCAAGTGCCGGAACACCTCCCCTAAATCCTGTAAATGCTGCTCCCGAGTCTTGCTGTACACCAGGATGTCGTCCAGGTAAACGATGACTTTCTTGTCCAGCATGTCACGAAACACGCCATTCATGGTGAGCTGAAAGGTCGAGGACGCGTTCGTCAACCCAAACAGCATCACTGTGTATTCGTAACTGCCGTAGCGGGTTTGGAACGCAGTCTTCGGGCAGTCGTCAGCGAACACGCGAATCTTATGGCAGCCACCTCGCAAGTCAATTTTCGAGAAGAAGCGAGCCCCGCGAAGCTGATCCAGCAGGTCGTCCGCTCGCGGAATCGGGTAACGTGGCTTGATGGTGATCCGATTCAGCGCTCGATAGTCGATGCACATGCGTAGGCCTCCGTCCTTCTTCGGCATGAATAGTATCGTGGCGGCGTATGGGGACGTGCTCGGCCGAATAAAACCCTTTGAGAGTAGGTAATCCAGCTGTTTCCGCAACTCGTCGAGCTCCGGTTGGCTGGGCCGCCACTGTGACCAAACAGCTGGTTTTGTGCCTGGCTCCAGCTCGATCCTGTGGTCTTCTGGCCGCTTAGGTGGCAGCCCGTCAGGCAGGTCATCCGCAAAAATTTCGGGATACCTCCGAATTATGCTCGCCACGTCCTCTAGTACAGCAGCGCAGAGCGTGTCAATGTTGGTGATTTTCTCGGATGCAGCCACCTCGTATAGCTGTACGGCGTAGCCTTGCGCTCCCCGTTTGATCACCCTTGTTAGTGTGATCGCGTTGACACATGTTGTCATCGGCATCGGCTCAGGGCTGTCGCTTGCTCTGAACCCAACCCTTACAAAGTTGAGCTGGCCCAAAACCAGCCCGGAAGCATCCGGGAAGGGCCTGATTTTGGCCAGTAAGAATCAGGGCTGATTTCAGACCTAGAGAATTTGCAGCCATGAATACCTACATGCTTACAGGAATTATGTAAATGTAACTAAGCCTGCTCCAAATTAAGCTAACTACAAAGCTTACGCATCTTGTTCAACAACAATCACACGGGTTTAGGCCGGCTTGCGGCCTTTCTTAGTATCAAACCTAGCGTAGGCCGCACTCCAGTCGACAGTGTAGTCTAGCATTTTAACAATCATTAAATCGCCTAGCCTAACATCGCTCAAAGCAATCCGATCCCAAGATTTGATGATGTTTTGCCTTGAAAATCCCCGCTCTCATTCCACCATGCTGAGGGGCAGCACAGACACGGCACGCCAGAGGGTGGCGATGTGCGGGTAGTCACATTGCCAGTCCGATGTATGGAGCATGTTGGTGAGGGCTTGGTGAAACCCTTGGCCCTTGAACTTCTTCTCCATAGTAGCAGTGAAGAGCCTAACTTCGCTCAACTTTTTCAGCGGGCACACCTGCTCATAAGATGATGGGATAGACGATGGTAAGGTATTGAAAAAACAGGACATACGAGAGCACAATATGCAGTCAAACATAGCTAACTGACCTGGCAGACGGTTCTTGAACATGTCCAGGAGCTCGGCAAGGAGGCCTGTGAAAAAATATTCTTGATCTCCTGCACGCTTAGGGAGATATTTATCCGGGCAGAAAAAAGCCACACTATCAATCTAGCGGAGGTCCGCCATCCTCTTCCCAAGAGTTTGGACAAGCTTCGCAGCAAACCTCTTGGCAAGATCGTAGCATGAGTCTAGGTCACCACCACCGCCACACCCAATGGGCTCTTCATGCAGGTCCACAGTGCAAGTCTCCTTGCCCTTGTTGTCCACACCAGTGATGACCATTTCTCGCTTGTCACTGTGCGCTTCAAGGAACTTCACGAGTTTGGACGTGTTGATGCCGAATGTGGCATCCGGCTCCACATAACATTGCTCCAGCTTCAGCTTCACTTTGTCAACATGGTCCTTGACCTCGGTAATGTTGACCTGTTAAAACAAAGGGTATGAAGGAAAGCACAAAAGGCAGAGGCATGGGGCAGAACTCATTACAGTGCAAAAATCTGGATATAGAGGAAAGCACAATACGGCTGAAAATTGAACACCTTGGTTATGTTGACCTATTAGAAAAAGGGGCATGAAGGAAAGCATTAAGTGCAGAAAACATAACGCATGGGCCAGAACTCAGTAAAGTGCAAATCTCTGAATCTAAAGGAAAGCACAATACGGCTGAAAATTAAACACATCGGTTAGTTTGACCTACTAGAGCAAAGGGCAGAAAGGGAAACACAAAGGGCAGAAAATAGTTTGATAGCGCAAAGGGCAAAACTTATTAAATTGCAAAAGTCAGAATTTAGACGAAGCACAATGCGGCTGAAAATCAAAGGCATGCGAAGGGGCAATATTGAGACAACTCACACAAATGAGGAAAGAACAGACATGGTTGCGATCGTATATACGGTTCAGAGAAACAAAACAAGAAATGCTTACATGGCTCTTCTGAAACAAAAGGTTCAAGCCATTGAGAAGCTCGAGAATGTCAGTCAGGAGGTATAGCACGAAATGAAACATGAAGCTGGTTGCAGTGTGATACAGTCTAGCGTCCTTTTTCTTCCACATCCACAGCAGCGCGGGCAAGACCTCACAAAATCGATTGACAGCGTCTCCCCTCGACAGCCAACGCACGGCGAAGATACCCTGGACCTCGAGTTGTGTCTTCAAGATCTCGTCCTGCAAGGCCATGAGCGTCTTGCGATCGGTGGACGAGCGGCCAAGATGCTCAGCATTTTCTCGTATCTGCGTGTCAATGACCGTAAACTCCTTGAACTTCTTGGCTGCATCCTTTGCAGCCAAGGCTTCTCTGCAAGATACGCAACGCGTGAGAGTTAAATGATTGTTAGAAGAGAGAATCATGATGAAAGATAAGTCAATCAACAAGTAAGACTCTCACCTGTGGGCTACACAATGAACCGCAACCAGCCACGGACAACGCTTCTTGAGAAGTTTGATGACGCCCTTCTTGGCGCCTCTCATAACCGAAGCACCGTCGGTAGAAACACCAACGAGTTTGTCCATCGACAGCCCCTTACTGTCCAGGTACGCCACGATGGAGGCATACAAGGAAGCCGCATCACACTCGTCCACCGTGAGAAGCCCAAAAAACTGGGTGACGACTTCCTCTGTCCGTTCGAAGGTGATGTAGATTATGAGGTGCTTCCTGCGTGCCCGATCGGTGGACTCGTCGAAAGAGAGGCCGTACCACTTGGATTTCTTCATGTCTTCAAGTTGACGCTCGGCCAAATGATGCGCCAATGCCTCGATGAACTCGCAACAGCCGTACCTGCCAATGCAATGAAATAGAGAGGTATTGGATTGGGACCCCTCTAAAACGGAGAAATAAGAAAATTGGACAAACATAATACAGAGTCAATGTATGATAGAAGGATGTCAGTTAGCCAAATACAAGGATAGACCATACCTCAAGAAGTGGCGCCCGTACGACTCGTTGTTCACCATGTCCGGACAGTCCTGGTCGGCCATGAAGCGCACAAGAGATGGGTACAAGAGGATGGGTGAGTCTCATCGAACGACCCAATATGCCACTTGCATGCACTTCGTCACCCGCGCCTGCATGGGGTCGTTGCTGAGCATATACAGAATAGTGCGTTGCTTCACCTCAGTCCCTTGGGCAAGAATTTCAGCTGTCATGGCAGCGAGATGAATCCTAGACTTGTCATGGTGCTTGACAGCAGATTTCTAGATGTCGCGAGCTCCAACCTCACCGCTGCCAAAGGGCGACTTCGTGTTAGGAGCATGTACCTGGCAGGCCTTGCATCTCATGCCGTATTGCATTTGATTCGAGTTGAACTCAAACCTTAGCCATGGGTATGCACTTTCCAGCTCGGGTTAAATTGTCGCGTGAGGTTTTTCTCAGCATCTGGAATTCCAACTTGTCATTTTTCAGCAAGGAAGGGTCCACCTCATACTTGTTGTCCGTTTCAGGAATGGGCTTTGGTGGTGGTGGTGGCTCCCCCCGCACACGCGTCTTCTTCTTTTTGGACGGAGGTGATGCCCAACTAATGCGGGACTGACGCAAACGACTACGCGGTGCAGCAGTGCTTGTGCTCGCCGGCGAGTTGAGATCAAATGTCAATGGCTCTGACCTACGTGTGTCTACCTCCTCCGAGGAGTTTTCAGATAATTCCATATCACAATCTACAACTTGGTCGTCCTCGCTAGCGCCGAGACTAGTAGTAGGAAAGCTGGATGAATTGCACACATCAGCTAGGGTATTTAATCCGCTTTTAAACCCACCATTAAGACCCTCCGTCGTAGGAGGATTGCAAGAGAATGACTAGAGAGATTAACTTAATGAATGGTTGAACTTATAGTAGAAGTACCTTGTTCGTCAGATTCCACTCCACCCCACTCCCACAGACGACGAGAAGGATTGATATGGAGCAGGGGAGGGAGGAACGGAAAAGAAGGGAGGGACGGGAAGTTGACGTGACGAGAGCTCCCATCTTCCGTGCCGCGCTATTGCGCTGCAGCAGCTACTGTGATGTCTGGGGTGTGGTCTGTGTTAGAATTATATGTTCTAGCATGCTAACACTTGTGACTGTACACCAATTGTGGTGTACAGTTGGGTTGGGATTACACCCAACTTTGGGTGTAGACTTGCATTGGGGTGCCAATCCAACCCAATTGTGGTGGAGCCCCCAATTGCAACCCACTTGGCCTAAGGTGGCCTCACTTCCCAAAAGTGAGGCCAACCCAACCCAAGTGGGCCTCAGGTTGCCTCACTTCCCACAAAGTGTGGGCAACCCAACCCACTTGGCCTTAGGTTGCCTCACTTCCCAAAGTGAGGCCAACCCAACCTATGGCCAACCCAACCTTTCCCCTCCAAGCTTCTCATCCAACCTATGTATGCTTGTTTCCTCCTCTAATAAAGCTAATGTTTTATGTTCAACTCTACTTCCACACATATTATAGAGCTTAACTCCTTGGCTTACATCTCCCTCCCTCCCAAAAATTTTGTTCCTCCGTCTCCCAAGGGCCCACCTTCCCCGCTTAGCCGCCGTGGCCTAGACCGCCGCCGCCGCCCCTAATTTCACCGGTAAGTTCTGCTCCGGCGGGCATTTCGCCCGTCAGTTCTGCTCCCGCAGGCATTTCGCCCGTCAGTTCTGCTCCCGCGGGCATTTCGCCCGTCAGTTCTGCTCCCGCGGGCATTTCGCCCGTCAGTTCTGCTCCCGCGGGCATTTCCCCTGTCAGTTCTGCTCCCGCGGGCATTTCCCCCGTCAGTTCTGCTCCCGCGGGCATTTCGTTCGTCAGTTCTGCTCCCGCGGGCATTTCCCCCGTCAGTTCTGCTCCCGCGGGCATTTCGCCCGTCAGTTCTGCTCCCGCGGGCATTTCGCCCGTCAGTTCTGCTCCCGCGGGCATTTCGCCCGTCAGTTCTGCTCCCGCGGGCATTTCGCCCGTCAGTTCTGCTCCCGCGGGCATTTCGCCCGTCAGTTCTGCTCCCGCGGGCATTTCGCCCGTCAGTTCAGCTCCCGCGGGCATTTTGCCCGTCAGTTCTGCTCCCGCGGGCATTTTGCCCGTCAGTTCTGCTCCCGCGGGCATTTCGCCCGTCAGTTCTGCTCCCGCGGGCATTTCGTTCGTCAGTTATGCTCCCGCGGGCATTCCGCCCGTCCGTTCTTTTCCCACGGGCGTTTCGCATCTTCACCACGCTTCTCCCCCCCCCCCCTTCCTCCCCCTTCCCCCTCGCTTCCTCCTCCTTCGGGCCATTCAGCCCTCCTCCCCCTTCCCCCTCGCCTCCTCCTCCTAAGGGCCATTCAGCCCTCCTCCCCCCCCCCCCTCCCTTCCCCCTCTCCTCCTCCTCTCCCTCTCCCCCCCCCTCTGCAGCAGCAGCAGCAGCCGAACCAGCAGCAGCGGCAGCATCAGCCACAGCAGCAGTAGAAGCAGCTGCAACCTCCCTTCCCCCTCTCCCTCCTCCTCTCCCTCTCCCCCCCCCTCAGCAGCAGCAGCAGCCGAACCAGCAGCAGCAGCAGTGGCAGCATCAGCCGCAGCAGCAGCAGCAGCAGCAGCTGCACCCTCCCTCCCCCCTCTCCCTCCTCCTCTTCCTCTCCCCCCCCCCTTAGCAGCAGCAGCAGCCGAACCAGAAGCAGCAGCAGTGGCAGCATCAGCCGCAGCAGCAGCGGCAGCAGCAGCTGCACCCTCCCTTCCCCCTCCCCCTCCTCCTCTCCCTCTCCCCCCCCCCTTCCCCAGCGGCAGTAGCGGCAGCAGCAGCTGCACCCTCCTTTCCCCCTCTCCCTCCTCTCCCTTCCCCCCCCCTCCTCAGCAGCAGCAGCAGCCGAACCAGAAGCAGCAGCAGCAGCAGAACCAGCAGCAGCAGCAGCAGCAGCAGCAGCAGCAGCAGCAGCAGCAAGTGGTGGAGTGCAGCAGCGGCAGCAGGAGCAGGAGCAGCACGAGGAGTGCAGCGGCAGCAGCAGCAGCAGCAGCAACAGCAGGTGCGCAGCGGCAGCAGCGGCAGCGGCAGAAGGAGTGCAGCGGCAGCAGCAGCTACAGCGGGAGGAGTGCAGTGGTAGCAGCAGCATCAGTAGCAGGAGGAGGAGTGTAGCAGCAGTAGCAGCAGCAACCCCCCCCTTGGCCGCCGCGGGTCCACCCGCCGTCGCCTTACCCTTGACCGCCGCGGGTCCACCCGCCCGTCTCACCCTTGGCCGCCACGGGTCCACCCGCCGTCGCCTCTCATAGCTGCCAGCCCCCCTACCCCTCTTCCCCCTCCCATCGACGCCTCTTCAGTCGACAAGCTGCTGCTTGCTGTAGATCGTTCGGCCATCAATTGGCACTCATTCGTCGGCAGCATTCGCTGCGTCCTCTAGGATGCTTTCGTCGGACCCTACTATGTCCTTGACGTCCTCCTTCGCCGTGCGCACGCCCTCCAGCCGACATTACCCAATCACCCTGGTGAACTCCCTCCTCTCCCCGACCCTTCTGGCTCTCCTCCTTCCGAGCCTGAGTTGGTCAGGGCCTCCACCTCTGACCTTCAAGCTGCCGCCGACACCACCTTCCTCCACAACCGCCACGAGTACCTCGTTCGCAAGGCCGCTCATGAGGTTGCTGTGCACAACTACGAGTTCGCAACGGCAGAGTGTGTCACTCGCCAGGCTTTGCTTGACACCTACAACACGGCCATGGCACTCCACATCCCCAACAGCCTCGCCTGGGCCGCTGCCGACAACCGCGCGTGCACCATCCTCCTTGGTGCACTCCCCGACGCCCTCATGCGCCATTTCCAAGCCCGTGAAATGCGAGTCTCCCTAATCTAGGCTGAGCTACAGTCATTGTTTGAGCGTCGCGACATCAGCTCTGTCGGCGTTCTCCTCCAGGAGTACTTCTCCATTACCCTCGCTTCCTTTGACGGCGCAGTCGACTACGTCGGGCGCATGCAGGAAGTTGCTGATCGCCTTGCGGCCCGTCAGTGCGTCCTCCCTGAGCCACTGCAGATCTACCGCCTGCTCTTCAACCTCACACCGGACGATGAGTCCCGTTTGCACGCCTTCACTGAGGCACACACCCTTGCTGGCCTCGACCCGGTGGTCCAGTGGATCATTGATACGGAGGTCAAGCTCCGCACTCCCATTGTCAACCTCACCACCCCTCAGTCCTCCTCCTCCCCCTCCCTCAATGCCACACAGCCGCGCAACCCAGGTGGTCGCAGCGGCGGAGGAGGTGGTCGTGGAGGGGGCGGCGGTGGTGGTGGTGGTCGGGGCGGTGGTGGTGGTCGGGGCGGTGGTGGTGGCCGTGGTGGCCGTGGTGGAGGTGGTGGTGGTGGTGCTGGCAGTACCGCCACCGGAGGTCCCCCTGGTGCCGGTGGTGCTGTCGGTCGTGGTGGTCGCCCGGGGACTCTCCCCCCCTGCACCTGCGTTCGCCGTCATGGTCCCAACACCGGCACGCCCTGTGGTCAGACCAACCACCCTCCTACCACTTGCTTCAAGGCGCTCAATGACGCCTAGTTTGACCGCGACAACACTGGCACCCCCCTCGCTGGGGCGCTGTCACCCCTCGCCCCACCCTGGTGGACGTTGAGACTCTTCCCTCCTTCCTCCCTGCTCACCTCTGCCTACTCACCCCATCCCCCACTTCCCAGCTGCAGCAGTTACAGCAGCACCACCAGCAGCAGCAGCAGCTGTCAACGGAGATGTGTCTTGGCCCCGTCCTTGCTTGGGCGGAACCGACCTCGTGGTCGGGTGTGAGGGGATCAGCCGACCTGCAGCAGTGGGCGAGCTGGTTGACGAGGAGGTCGACCTGCACAAGGGCCACTGCACGGGCGCCGACTTCATGTTGGCACCAACTGTGTCACAATGTAAAATTGACTAAAACAGAAAGTACAAACAAGATATATGCAAAACCTAGCCCTAGTGCAAGTAGAAAATAACATAAGGGAGAACACCTAGACTAGAACTACATAAACTATAGAATTATAGCTTGACACACCCCCATAGTCTAGGTGACGGTAGTCCTGTAGAAACAACAAGAGCAAGCAACGGTCACAACACCAGTCCACAAGAAGTACAAGACATGCAGGACAAGGCATCTCTACGTAAGCAAGTGTGGACGGGCAGGCACAAGGCCAAGCTGGGTGCAGAAACGCTGGTGGTCACAAGGCGGCAACGCCTTGGTGAAGATATCTGCCGTGTTGGCCTCAGAGACAACACGTCGAACGAGCGCCTGGCCACGCTGCTGCAACTCACGCAGAAGGAAGTAACGAAGCTGGATGTGCTTCGCTTTCCCAACCAGTCGGGGCTCCTCACACAACAGGACAGCAGACCTGTTGTCGGCGAACAAGACTGGGGGAGAGCGAGGCCGCTCACCAAGGTCGGTGAGAAGGAAAGACAGCCAGCGAAGCTCCTGAGCGGCCATGGCCGCAGCGTACACCTCTGCCTCACAGCTGGAACCGGCGACGGACGACGCCCGAGTCGACCGCCACGAGACAGCACCTGTCCTGAGGCTAAAGGAGTACCCCTGTGTAGACCGACGCGTCTCCGCGTCGTCGGCCCACGACGAGTCTGAGTAACCTGTGAGTGTAACTGGCTGCTTCCCTCCAAGGACAAGTCCCATGCCTGATGTACTCGCCACATACTTCGCCACCCTCTTAGCAGCGGACCAGTGGGACGGTCGGTGTCTCCCAGGCGCAACAAAGCGCGCAAGGACGCTAAGAGGGTAAGCTAGGTCTGGGCGAGTACAGGTCATCAGGTACATGAGACAACCCACCAGCTCAGGATATGGACCACTGGACTCAAATGACTCGTCCGAAGGTGGAGCTGTGAGCCCATGATCCACAGCAAGAGGGGTGAGCTGTACCTTGGAGAACGGGAAGCGAAACCGCGTGAGGATCTGCTCGACCATATGCGACTGCGTCAGCGTAATGGTGCGAGCTGCCCTGTCCCTGGTGATCTGCAGGCCAAGGTAGTGCTGGAGCTCACCAAGGTCAGTGCAAGTGTGTCTCCTCTGCAGTTCCTCCTTCACGGAGGCCAGCGCGCGTCGGTCGGGAGTGGTGAACACTAGGTCGTCGACGTAGACCATGACAAAGAACGGGGTCGAGCCACGGCGGACGAACAGTGACGGGTCGGCAGACGACGGAAAGAAGTCAAGCGCTGCAAGGGTCGAGCGAAGTGTGTCATGCCACTCACGTGGAGCCTGCCGCAGGCCGTAGATTGGTCGACGCAGCTGCCACTGGGTCCCAGGTGGGAAAGAGCCAGTGAAGCCAGGCGGGCGACGCAGCCAGATCTGCTCGTGCAGGCTCCCCTGAAGGAACGCGGTGGAAAAGTCCAAGGAGTGCAACTCATAGTCGCGTTGGGCTGCAATATGCAGCAGCACCCGAAGAGTACTCATCTTCGGGGTGGGCGCAAAGGTCTGGAAGAAGTCCACCCCCTCTCGCTGACTGAAGCCTCTCGCCACATAGCGCGCCTTGAACACTGGTGGTGATCCAGGCGGCCGCTTCACCTTGAAGAGCCATCGGCCACTGACGACGTTCGTCCCTGGTGGTGGGACTGCGTCGACGTAAGTGACTGTGGACCTATAAGATGCCATTTCTGCCTCCTCAGCTGCTATCCAGTACGAGGCCCAGGGTCCCGAGACCGCCTCAGCGTGATTGCGAGGGATCGGGATGTCAAGAGCGTCTGGATCCCCCTCAGGGGTAAGCAGCATGGTGCAGAGATGAGGAACAGCAGCCGCAAGGAAACCAAGCTCAAACTGCCTGTCCTCTAGGACCTCCAGGGGAAAGACAGGAGCACCCCCAGAGGACGGAGAATGAGCAAGGCCACTCACCAAGTGAGCGGCGTAGTCAAGGCGGTGGGAAGAGGCAAAGCCAGCGACAGTGGTAACAAGTGCTGAGACAGACGACAGGGGTGTAGTCGGGTGAGTGACCAACGCGGACAAAACACGGGAGACGACAGGACGGGAGGCACGAAGGTAGTCGGACAACGGGTCATGAAGCACAGTGAGGGACGACTCAGGAGGCTGTGGAAGGACAGGAGGAGGTGGAACACGAGAGCGAAGAACAAGGTGGAACGGACCGTCTGCACGGTAACGGGACCGACGACGCTCTGGGGACACAGCACGACTGAGGGGAGAACGACGAGTCCACTGGGACGAGGACAGGGACTCAACAGGGGGAACAGGAGGGGACGGTAGGGGACCACGAACAAAGCGTGCAGGTGCTGGGTCGGGGAGGTCACGTAGTCGCAGTCGCTGCTGCTCCGCCTCCTCTGGCGTCTGCTGCGACGGTACCGGCCCCTGCTGCTGCTCCTGTGGCTCCACGTCTGCCCTCTCCTGCTGCGACTGCAGCTGCACCCGCTGCTGCGACCGGGACTCCTGTGCTACCCTCTCCTGCTGCGGCCGTGACTCCTCCTCTACTCTCTCCTGCTGGGTCTGTAACTGCACCTGCTGCTGCGGGTGGGACTCCTGCTCTACCCTCTCCTGGTGCGGCCGTGACTGGTCCTCTACTCTCTCCTGCTGTGTCTGTAACTGCACCTGCTGCTGCGGGCGGGACTCCTGCTCTACCCTCTCCTGGTGCGGTCGTGACTCCTCCTCTACCCTCTCCTGCTGTGGCTGTGACTCCTCCTCTACTCTCTCCTGCTGCTGCTGCGGCTGGTACTGCTGCTGCTGCTGCTGCTGCTGGTGCTGCTGCTGCTCCTGCTGCTGTGCCCTCTCAAGCCGCTCACGCTCCTCCCTCTCCAACCTGAGGAGACGCTGCTCACGGGTCAGGAAACGTACAGTGCGCGGTGTGGGCGCCACAGTGCTAGTGCCTCCAGCTCCAGCACCCCCCGAACCAGCACCTCCACCACCGACACCCCCGGGGCCTCCAGTACCTCCCGCAGGAACACCCCAAGGCTCCGCAGCAACCGGCCGCCGAGAAGAACGAGGAGGAAACTGCGGGACGGACGGGAAGCCAGGGGGTGAGGCGGGGCGAGGCCGCCGAGTCGAGGCTGCCGTGTCCTCCACAGGAGTGACCTCCACGCCCACAACCCCTGCACCCCCAGAGCCGACACCACCAGCTCCTGCAGCCCCAGTACCCTCACCCTCCGCAAGTGCACCTCCCGCACCCCCAGACACGGCAGGGACTGGACGCTGCCGGGGGGAAGACTGCGGAGTGACGTGCGACACACTTGACGGGGCAGGACGCGAGGGGGGGGGGGCTACCGGGGCGACCGGTGGGGGCTCAAGGGTGAGGAACAGCGGGGGGGAAAAGACCTCAGTACCTCGGTGGGGGCGACTCCTGTAGTAACAGACAGACTCGTCGAACGTGACGTCCTGAGAAGCGAAAAATTGGTAGGTGACTGGGTCGTAGAACACCCAGCCGGAGGCGTCCAACGGGAAGCCAAGGAAGACGCAGGCACGAGTGCGCGGAGACAACTTGTTCGCGCCAGGGGCGTGAACGTGAGCCAGAGAACCCCAGACACGGAAGTCATCTGCTACGCCCGGAGAACCTGTCCAAAGGGAGACCGGCGTCACCCGTGGCCGTGCGTTACTGGGCCACAGGTTCAGCTGGTGCACGGCGTAGCGGACTGCCTGAGGCCACAAGAACTGGGGGGCACCGGCATGGCACATGGAGGTCCGGGCAACCTCCATGACCAGGCCGATGCGTCGCTCGGCTACCCCGTTCTGCTGCGGTGAGGCTGGTAGCGTGTAAGACTGGATGATCCCCCGACCCTGACAGAACGTCTCCAGGCGAGTGGAAGAAAACTCACCACCACGATCCGAGTGTAGGCGAAGCCCACACAGGCCCTGGGCGCCACCCCACGCTAGTAGCCACGGCTCGAGGACGGTAGGCACGTCGGCCTTCCGTCGCAAGGGGAAAACAGTGGTGTAGCGGGAGTAGTCGTCCACCACAATCAGGAAGTAGCGCTCCTGACGTGGCCCAAGGACCGGGGAGGGGCCCCAGACGTCCAAGTGCAGGGTCTGGAAGGGAGCCGTGGTGGGGGGGAACGAGGAGGAGTGAGGGGCAGCGCGCTGCCAACCCTCGACGCAAGGAGTGCACAGCGGCGCAGGCGAGCGGGGAAGCGGTGCAAGCGACTCTGGGAGACCTGAGACCAGACGGTAACGTGCCATCCTACTGAGACGCGGAAACGAACAGCCGCGACGGGTGACGGGCGACGGGAAAAAAAAAAAAGGAAACGACCGCGATCGACGGGGGGAAACGGGCGACGGGCCACTGGCGACGGGGGGGGGGGGGGGGTCTACAGGCGACGGGGCTAAGGTAAGCGCACTACGGGCGGTCTAGGACGGGGCGCGACTAGGTCGGCCCATGATAATCAAGTGATTTTTCCTAAGGGGAAAATCTCGCTAGGGTTAACCTAGCTCTATACCATGTCACAATGTAAAATTGACTAAAACAGAAAGTACAAACAAGATATATACAAAACCTAGCCCTAGTGCAAGTAGAAAACAACATAAGGGAGAACACCTAGACTAGAACTACACAAACTATAGAACTATACCTTGACAAACTGCAGGGAGGTCGACCTGGGAAGTCGACCTGCGGAGGGCGTCGACTTGGTGACGCCAACTTGGGGCAGCCGACTTGGGTGGTTGGCTGACGGGACTGCTGGTCAACCTGGTGGTTGGTCGACTAGGCCTGCTGGTCGACTTGGAGGTTGGTCGACCAGGCGTGATGCCGACCTGGTGGTCGACCTAACAGGGTGGTCAACGAAGGAGGGGCCGACGTCGACCTCGATCCAGGATGCCGAGCAGCTGGGCGTCGAGTAGAAGGGCGTCAACTTGGTGACGCCGACTTCGGGTAGCAGACTTGGGTGGTCGGCTAACACCTGCGCTGGTCGATATGGAGCTGGTCGACCAGGAGTGCTGGTCGACGTGGAGTTGGTCGACCACGAGTGACGTCGACCTGGAGCTGGTCGACCAGGGGCGTGGTCGACCTGGTGAGGTCGACTTGGTGTGGTCGTGGACTTGGGAGGTCGACGGGCACATACAGGAGCAGCTGGTCGACGTGGTTGCCCGGTCGACTAGGTTACCTGGGTGACGAGGTTCTGCGGAGGAGTGTGACAGTCACCCAGGCGAAGTTGGCGAGTCCGACCTCGGTGGTGGTATCCCGAGGTCGACATGGCTGATCAGATGCAGTAGTTAGCGCCAGGTTGACTTGGTGTGTGCGCTGCGCAGGTGACAAGGCTCAGCCCGCCAATCATCTGCGAGCACCTGCGAAGCTGATGCGATGCTGTACTGCGGGAGCTACGCTGGCACGCCGTCAACTTACAGCGTTGGCACGCCGTCGACTTTGCACTGCTGGAGCGCGGTCGACCAAGTCGTGCTGGAACGCGGTCGACCATGCTGTGCTGGAAGTCGACCGACCTGAATGCTAGCCCTGATGTAGTCTTGCCATGCCAACTTCATTGAACTATTGTTGTCAGCTTTCTCTAGTGAAACTCTTGCCAAACTGCCGCGTGAACTAGCAAGCAGTGTGTGCACTAGGAAAACGACTAAGGACCAACAAACGCAGAGATCACACGAGCACCCATTCCTAGCCCGTAGTCTAGCTCTCGTTCTAGTAGTTATCTCCGCATGGTGCGGTGAGCGTGGACGGCACACGACTTACCTTTCAGTCAGGTCGACGTAGTGCTCACTTACCTAAGTTGCTCGTAGGCCGGCAGACGTGCAGTCACTAGCGTGCGCGTAGGTGACACAGAGGTGATGGACACCCTGGAGGCACAGCTGGAGGATGCGAGGAGACGCCATGAGGCCCCAGAGTACGGGGCGATACCCTGGGCGGTCGTCGAGGCTGGACTCCGCACCGTGTGGGCGACAGAGCATCCCCCTTCTCGACCAGATTCTCCTCGACTGGTGACCAACGAAGGCGGCGTCGACGTGGGCGTCAACGCCGGTGGTGGCCAAGTCTGCAGCAGTGCGGGAGGCAAGTCGAGGCAGCGTGGTGTGATTCACGCCGATGAAGTCGGCGGCGTTCAGGCATGAGGGGTGCGGTCGGCAACGGCTGCACGCTCCTCGCAGGGTGAAATCGGAGGTCGACGAAACGGTTTGTAGCCGATGTCGGCAACCCAGGTGACGGTGGGCGGGATTGCACCGAGCTACGGCTACTTCAAGTTTACGCCGGACAGGATCTCGGTCACCCCGCCGCTCGTCGGCCGACCAGACATACTCACCTAGAAGGAAGCCATCGAGCCCTAGCTGGAGATGGCCGGGCTGATCAGCTTTGCTCGAGGCACCGTGGCGACGCTGGACGACCCCGACTTGCGTTCGGAGTTTCGCGCCGTGCAGCTGTTGACCTTCACGGTCATCTCGCGGTGCTGCTCGCCGGGCGTGCAGATCGCCTTAAGGTGGTGCCGAGAGTACCTCGACGCCGGCCACCGGGCGTGGCACTTCATGGAGTCGACCTACCAAGTCACCGCCGACTTGTTCATCGCCCAGCTAGAGGGGCAGCTGACGCACCTGCGTATGGGCGACGAGTAGATGGCGACCGACTACTGCAACCGAGCTCGGCGGATCCTCGCCACCATCAGGATGGCCGGCGCGCAGTACCCGACAGCGTCGTACGTCACCCACGTCATGCAGGGACTCTCGAGCAGCTACAACCTCCTGAAGCGGCTGTCAATGGCGCCGAGCACGAGGTCGACGCTCAACGAGGACAACTTGACCTCGTACATCCTACAGGACGAGGCAATGCAGGAGGCTGAGCGGTTCTAGGAGCTCTTGGCGCAGGCGCACTTTGTCGCCCCGACGAAGCAAGGAGGCCGACCGGGGCAGCGCGGACACTCTGGTGGTGGTGGTGGTAGCAGCGGCTGGAAACCAGCCAAGGACGTCGGCAAGAAGAAGTCGACCAAGGACAGCGGTCAAGGAGGAGGAAGTCGACGTCGGGAGTGCTGGCTGTGCGGCGACCCCGACCACCTCTCCTTCGAGTGCCCCGACCGCAGTGACTCCGACGACGACGACGCTAAGGGAGGCCGTGGGAGGTCTAGCAGTCATCGTCCTCGTCGAGGAGGAAACCAGCCGCGCAAGGAGACGCAGTCGATCAAGTCGACCTCGGCGAAGGACGCTGACTCTTCTGCTGGCGGCAAGGCGCGGGACGACATAACGGCGTTGTGCTCGTTGGTCGGCGTCGTGGAGCCGTCCGTCTCGCTGGTGCCGGAGGCCGGCGAGGACTTCCAGGCGGTGGCGGCAGCTGTGCAGGTGAACCCGGCGGTGGTCCTGCTCGACAGCAGCTGCTCCCACCATCTGATGGGGACGAAGGAGGTCTTCGTCGACCTGCAGTCGAGCGGCGACATCAAGCATGTACGTGGCTTCAATGGGGCGCTACAGGACGTCCAGGGCCGCAGCACCGTCGCCCTGCAAGGGGAGGCCGGGAAGCAGGTGCTGATCACCGACGTGCTGTACGTCCCGGGTGTGCAGGCGAACCTGCTTTCGGCCGGCCAGCTGAAGGAGAACGGCGTGAAGCTGCAGGAGGACGACGACGGGATGCTGCTCGTCTCGGCGGCCGGAGAGGTCCTCGGTCGGGAGACGTACTCCGGGCATGCCCTCTGCACCAACTTGCATCCCTGCTCAACGAGGTCGACGTCACCCACGCCGGAGGTTGTGGCCCTGCGGGCGATCGTCTCTAAGACGAAGTCGACGCCGGACAGGATGCATGCGAGACTTGCGCACGTCGGCATGGACACCATACGGAGCTCGGCGAAGAACGAGGTCGCCATTGGGCTGGACCTCAAGTCGACAACGGGGCCGACTCACCGTGTGTCTCGTGCGTCGGCGGGAAGCTGGCGCGGCACACCTTCCCCGACCAAGGCTCCGTCGCCGACGATGTGCTGGCCGTCGTGCACATCGACTTGTACGGGCCGTTCCGCGTGGCTGCCAAGGACGGCAGCTTGTACTTCTTGTTGCGCAAGGACCGCAAGACCCGCTACGTGTAGGTGAGGCCGTCGCAAAGAAGCTGGATGTGCTGCTGGAGTTCCAGAAGTGGCTGGTGTTGGTGGAGAGGCAGACGAAGAAGTCGGTGCTGATGCTTCGCTCCGACCGAGGAGGGGAGTTTCTCGGGAAGAAGTTCACCGACTTCGTGGACGGCAAGGGGATTGTCCACGACCTTACCTGCCCGTACACCCCGCAGCAGAACGGCATGGCGGAGTGCGAGATGAGGACGGTGGTGGATTCGGTGCGGACGATGCTGCTGCACATGGGCGTGTAGCACCACTGGTGGCACCTCGCTCTGCGACAGGCCGTCTGGGTCCGCACCTGCATTGAGAGGTCGATGCTGCCGCCGGGGACAGCGTCGCACCACTACTCACCGGGCAGAAGCCCGACCTGTCGCTGGCACGGGTGTGGGGCTGCATGGTACAGTTCCTGGTCCCCGAGCAGTAGCGTGGTGGCAAGTTGAAGCCGAAAGCCACGAGGGGCCTTCACCTCGGTGTGTCAACGGAGAGCAAGGGATGGGAGCTCCTCGACATCGCCACCAACCGGATGGACACCACGTCGGATGTGGTGTTCTACGATGATATGTCGCTGGAGGTGTGGAAGTCGGAGCACGGGCCGGTGTCAGGACGGACGCCGACCACCCCGCCGACCGACACCCCTCAACGGCGACGCTGCCTCTACTCGCCAAGGTCGGCGACCTTGTTGCCGAGGACGCCGAGGTCGTCCGTCCTCCTTCCTCTTCCCCTCCCCCTCCGACCCCTGCCCCTCCCCTCGTGGCCGACCTGCGCGGGCTGACTTCTGTGTCGGCCTCGGGCGATGAGGGGAGTCGTGGGACGTCGCCTTCGGCGTCGGCCAAGGGCATCGCTGGTGGCCGACGTGACGAGCGGCAAGTCGACGGGGGAGTGAAGTCGACGTTGACAGGGGAGGATCAGGTCGAGAAGGAGCATCCGACATGGGTGAAGTCGGCGAAGAAGGCAGCTGGGCAGCAGCCGACGGGGGAGCAGGCAGCGGTGAAGCCGACCACGGAGCAGTCGGCAACCAGGCAGTCGGCAGAGGAGCCGACCATAGGGGAGAAGTCGGCCAGGAAGTCGACTGAGGGGCAGCAGGACAACGAGGGCAGCAAAGACGGTGACGACGGAGGGGACGCCGAGGAGTCCACCAAGAGCGAGGTGGTGGAGGTTCGGCCTGAACCCCGGAAGTCGGGCCGACTTCGGAGGCCGCCCGACTTCTTCGTCCACGCTGCCTTCACCACGGTGTACGACGTGGACAACGAGGACCTGGCGTACGACGACGCCGAGGAGGATGAGGGGTTTTCGGAGCTCGACCCTGACATGCATGCCGATCCTGAGCACCGTTGGGATATCTCGACGACGACGGTGAAGGAGGCGTTGGCGAGCTGGAAGGGCCCGGCGGTGAAGGCCGCCATGGAGGAGGAGATCCGCAGCCTCATCAACATGGGCACGTGGGAGCTGGTCGAACGCCCGCTGGGGGTGAGCATCACGAAGAACCGGTGGGTGCTGACGACGAAGTACCACGTCGACGACACCGTCAAGCGCGAGAAGGCGAGGCTGGTCGTGAAGGGCTTCACCCAGGTGTATGGCGCCGACTACGACGAGACGTTCACGCCGGTGGGCAGCTACGTCACGCTGAGGATCTTCCTCAGCATCGTCGTCGTCCTCAACCTCAACCTGATGCAGCTCAACATGAAGAACGCCTTCCTGCAGAGCAAGCTCGACCGGGTGCTCTACATGTCCCAGCCGGACTACTTCAACAACGGGACTGGCCGGGTGTGCAAGCTGCTGAAGAGCCTGTACGGGCTGAAGCAGTCGCCACTGCTGTGATACTTGGCGCTCAACGACGTGCTGGTCGGCGCCGGGTGGAAGAAGAGCCAGGTCGACGAGGCTCTGTACTACAAGGTCGGCGACGACGGAGTGGCCTGCTGGGTGCTGGTCTACGTCGACGACCTGCTCGCAGCCAGCAGCAGCACCGAGATGCTGAAGGAGATGAAGGGGCTGCAGGAGTCCACCTTCGAGCTGCGTGAGATCTCGCCGGTGCAGAAGTACCTCGGGCTGGAGATTGTCCGCGACAGGTCAGCGGGGCAGCTGTGGCTGCACCAGCAGGGCTACGCCGACAAGCTACGTAGGCGCTTCATCAACGAGGAGCAGACCAGGCGCACTCCAAAGACGCCGGTCTCAATCGACGCCTACGCCGAGCTCACCTTCGACGACGAGGAGGCACAGGAGCGACAGGAGGAGGAGTACCGGCAGAAGTTCGGCTCGCTGCAGTTCGCGGCGACAACGACGAGGCCGGACATCGCCTTCGCCTGCAGAAAGCTGGGGAGCGGCCTCACCGTGAGGAGCGACCAGCACGGGCGCGAGGTCGACCGCTGCCTCGCCTACCTCGCCAACATGCGTGACACCGCCCTGGAGTTTGGCGGTGGACCTGAGTCGCTGGAGCTGGTCGGCTACGTGGACGCCAACGACGCAGGTGACAAGCAGAACAGGACGAGCACGGGTGGCTACGTGTTTGTCTACGGAGGGGCCGCAGTCTCCTGGTCGAGCCAGCGCATCAAGTGCGTGACGTTGTCGTCGACCGAGTCGGAGTACGTGGCCGCCACCAAAGCCGGCAAGGAGGGACGCCGACTTCGCTTCCTCCTTGCAGAGTTCCGGCAGCTGGATGCCGGGAAGCCGACCGTCCTTCGGGTGGACAACAAGTCGGCCATTACAGTCGCCGAGGGCATGGGGTTGACGGGCAACCTCAAGCACATGGAGCGGCGACAGGCCTGGCTGCAGCACCTGGTGAAGCACGGGAAGTTTTCGCTGAAATACATCCCGACCGCTGAGCAGCCGGCCGACTCCCTGACGAAGGCGCTGCACTATCCGGCCTTCAACTGGTGCTCCGTCGCCATCGGCTAGGTGCGCTTGGCCGACATGGGCGACGAAGATGACGACGTGCAGTAGTAGGTGGCATGCCCTCTTGCATGGCTGGTGCGGTGGACAACGTGCTGTGTGTTGGGTGCACATCGACGAGCTATTCTCCGAGGAGTACTGCCGTGTGGGCTGGGGGCCCAAGCGTGAACGCGGCAGGGGAGTGTCAACGGAGATGTGTGTTGGCCCCGTCCTCGCTTGGGCAGAGCCGACCTCGTGGTCGGGTGTGAGGGGAGCAGCCGACCTGCAGCAGTAGTTGAGCTGGTTGACGAGGAGGTCGACCTGCACAAGGGCCACTGCACGGGCGCCGACTTCATGTTGACACCAACTGCAGGGAGGTCGACCTGGGAAGTCGACCTGCGGAGGGCGTCGACTTGGTGACGCCAACTTGGGGCAGCCGACTTGGGTGGTCGGCTGACGGGACTGCTGGTCGACCTGGTGGTTGGTCGACTAGGCCTACTGGTCGACTTGGAGGTTGGTCGACCAGGCCTGATGTCGACCTGGTGGTCGACCTAACAGGGTGGTCGATGAAGGAGGGGCCGACGTCGACCTCGATCCAGGACGCCGAGCAGCTGGGCGTCGAGTAGCAGGGCGTCAACTTGGTGACGCCGACTTCGGGTAGCCGACTTGGGTGGTCGGCTGACACCTGCGCTGGTCGATATGGAGCTGGTCGACCAGGAGTGCTGGTCGACGTGGAGTTGGTCGACCACGAGTGATGTCGACCTGGAGCTGGTCGATCAGGGGAGTGGTCGACCTGGTGAGGTTGACTTGGTGTGGTCGTGGACTTGGGAGGTCGACGGGCACATACAGGAGCAGCTGGTCGACGTGGTTGCCCGGTCGACTAGGTTACCTGGGTGACGAGGTTCTGCGGAGGAGTGCGACGGTCGCCCAGGCGAAGTTGGCGAGTCCGACCTCGGTGGTGGTATCCCGAGGTCGACGTGGCTGATCAGATGCAGTAGTCAGCGCCAGGTTGACTTGGTGTGTGCGCTGCGCAGGTGACAAGGCTCAGCCCGCCAATCATCTGCGAGCACCTGCGAAGCTAATGCGATGCTGTACTGCGGGAGCTACGCTGGCACGCCGTCAACTTGCAGCATTGGCACGCCGTCGACTTTGCACTGCTGGAGCGCGGTCGACCAAGTCGTGCTGGAACGCGGTCGACCATGCTGTGCTGGAAGTCGACCGACCTGAATGCTAGCCCTGATGTAGTCTTGCCATGCCAACTTCATTGAACTATTGTTGTCAGCTTTCTCTAGTGAAACTCTTGCCAAATTTCCGCGTGAACTAGCAAGCAGTGGGTGCACTAGGAAAACGACTAAGGACCAACAAACGCAGAGATCACACGAGCACCCGTGCCTAGCCCGTAGTCTAGCTCTCATTGTAGTAGTTATCTCCGCAGCAGCAGCAGCCGCCGAAGTTCCTCTAGTCGCAGCAGCAACCGCCGCAGCAGTACTTCCAGCAGCAGCAGCAGCAGTTCCTACAGCCGCAGTGGCAGCAGCAGCGGATGACCTTCGGCACAGCGGCCATGGCCGCCCATGCTTCCCTTGCTCCCCCCCTCTGGGTTTCCCTCTCCTCTGCCCCCCCCAGTGTCTCTGACACCCAGGGCAGTTTCCTCGGTCATATTGATGTTGCACCTTCCGTCGCTTCCATCTATCCCTCTGCTATCAATGAGACGTCTTTCCAGTACCCAGTGCCACCTCCCCCTACTTCCTCCTCCACTCTGGACTTTGTCCTTGACAGTGGGGCCATCGAAACCGCACTCAAAGAAGCTGGCACCCTCACCCCCCTTCCACTTTCCACCCAGGTTCATGGTGCTGACTCCAGCTTTTCCATCCCCTGCACTCATCTTTCCACCCTCCCTTGCACCGCTTTCCCATCGGGTAAATGTAAACGGGAACGGAGTGTTGGCCGCGCCCTCGCTTGGGCAACGCCGGCGACTTGGTTTGATGTACGGGAGTAGCAACCGACCGTTCACAGTGGGAGAGCTGCTCGACAGGCTTCGTCGAGCTGCAAGGGACTGCTGTGGTGTTGCTGTCGACCAGGGAGCTCGACAGCTGCAACTGACTGGTCTGGGCGACGGGTGGGACGTCGACCAGGACCTGCAGCTCGACCGGGAGGTCTCCGGAGCATCCCGTCGACCTGCAGCTCGATCGGGAGGTCTCCGGAGCATCCCGTCGACCTGCAGCTCGACCGGAAGGTCTCCGGAGCATCCCGTTGACCTGCAGCTCGACCGGGAGGTCTCCGGAGCATCCCGTCGACCTGCAGTTCGACCAGGAGGTCGACGGAGTAGTCCGTCGACCTGGCAAGTGAGCAGCGGTCAACGAGGGGAGCTCGGCGACAGCCGCTGACTGTTCCGGTCGATGGAAGGGTCCGTCGACCAGAGGGTAGCTCGACGGGAGCTGTGGTCGACCAGGGGCGCCTGGTAGTCGACCAGAGGGACCTGGGGGTTGACCAGAAGCAGTGGTGGTCGACCGGAAGCACCTGGTGGTCGACCGGGTTGATCGGGTAACCTGCTCGACGAGTTCTGCGGAGGCACGCGAACGTCGTCTAAGTCGCGATGGCGAAGGCGACTGCGGGCTGGTATCCCGAAGTCGATGTGGCTCGTCAGGCGCAGACAACAGCCGACGGATGCCCAACGAAGCAAATCGGGCCAATCGTCTGCGCGCACCTGCGAGCGTGCGCACTGCTGTGTTCTACGGGGCAACGCTGGACAGCCGCTCTGCTGCAGCGTTGGCACGCCGTCGACCTGCTCTGTTGGCAGGTCGCCCTTCTGCAGTGCTGGCACGGCTCCTCTACGCAACGCTGGTAGGCGGTCGACCGAGCTGTGCTGGCGGTCGACCAGGCTAGCTGCAGGGTTGCTAGGTGCCTGACGTAGTCATTCTGTCATTGCTTGTTCAATTATTCTGTAATTTCGACTTTGCTAGTGGAAACTCTTGCCGATTTCTCCCGTGAATGTGCAAGCACTAAGGAACCAAGCAAAGCTACGATCACTATTAGTAGTTCGTGCCAACCCCGTAGTCTAGCTCACTACCGTTGTAGAGTGATTATCCTCAGTAAAGTCATAGGTCTCCACATCCCTACCCTTCGCAACAGCCTCCTCTCCCACCGTGAGCTCCAAGGTGTTGGTATTACCGCCATATACCCTGGTTTTGCTACATACTGCTATCTCTACCACACAGCCTCCGGTCGCTTCCTCCTTCGCATTCCCCTTTGCCCTCGCACTCGCCTTTACACGCTCTGCACGCCTCCTCCATCTTTCTGTCACGTCACCACTCGTGCTAGCACTTCCACTGGTCCCCTCCCCCTCTCCCTCCCCCTCCCCCTCCCCCTCCCCTTCAGGTATCCTCCTCCCCCATCTCCTCTCCCACCCCATCCCCCTCCTCCTCTACTGCCCTCTCCCACCCAACAGTTCTTTTGCATCACAGACTCGGCCATCCCAACTTCGCCGCACTCTGCACCACAGTCACCTCTCGCCTCCTTAACAGCCTTCCTCCCACATTACCTCCCGTCCCCTCCTCCTCTGCTCCCCCATGCCCATCATGCATCCAGGGCAAGCTCAAACAGTCTCCCCATCACAGCCATCCCACCTTCCCCGCCGCCCCCATTGACCTTGTTCACATGGATCTCTGGGGCCCCTACCCCATCCGCTCCCGT